ATAATTAAATATATATATATATATATATATATATATTATATCTACTCACTTGCTTCCTCACTAAAATCCCTCAAAGGTACGAAAACAGATCTAGTTGCATGCCTTTTCCTTCCAAAAGTCGTAAAATTATCCTCTTCTGCAGATATCAAACAATCCATTCGAGGTGCTATGGGTGCTCTAACATCATCATCCTAAAAAATAAATAATACAAAACATTGGAGTATCAAAATTAAAATTATAAATAACATCTTCGAGTATAATATGTTTCTTTAATATGATTATTGGTTTAATATGATTATTATTATTAGATATCTATTCGACTCACGTCACCGGTGAGATCCTGGTAGTCTAAACTCGATGATCCACCAGCCATAGAAGCACCAACGTGAGATTCAATTTCATTTTGTACGGATTGAGGAGGCGTTCCTTCCATATGTAAATGTACGGCTAGTTCTAAATCATAATTCGCAGCCTGCAATATTTGTTCAGCTACTTCGGATGTTGTTCCTGGGGGGAAAGACAATATTGACTTAAAATAATTATAAATTAATTAAATGAAATATATATATATATATATATATATATATATATATATATAAATATATATATATATAACAAACTGCATACCGTATTTATACAACTAGCTCATACAAAATTATTTCAAGAATTTGTTTTATTACCTGTAACATCCATAAACATTTGAACTTGACTCGGCTCTGCCATTGTTTTATTTAAAATGCTACTTCTTAAAATACACTTACACTTAATAAATAACTTCCATAAAAATATTTAAACTATATTATTATAATTATAAAAAAAGTTTACACTTGTCATATTTTATACTTAGTTTTTTTCAGCAAATTGAAACAAAACAATTGCGTGTGAATGTTGAGACGGTTAAATACTTAATAAATATTTTTAAACACTATAAATTTTGTTAGTTTTTATACAAATATTAATCTAGAAATACTTTTAATAAAAAATAAAATTGTTAAATGTGACAGCTCATGATTAGATATAAACAGCAGTGTTGACATATGAGAAGTTTTAAATTAGTGTTGCCAGAGGAAGAAAACCTGTTAAAATGGCGCGGGAAATTTGAATTTATTCAAATTCAAATTAGATTTTTGTTTATACATAAACTTATTGACTTTAGTTATTTACTAAGCAAGTTTTTAAGATTAATTATGAATATTTGAGATTTATTATATAATATTTATACATCACAAAAGTTAAACTAGTGGTGTATGGCATCGTGGCTTAGGGCAAATTGCTGGAATTTCCTGTACCGTAATGAAATATTCGAGAAATTTTAAACGTTTTCGAATATATTATTACAAATACTGTACTTTCATTATTTTTGCTTTCTTGTTTGTTATATCTGAGCAAATCAAATGTAGATCATAAATCAATTTATCTCCAGAACATTAACAATCGTCATTTCATTTCGAATTCAATTTCAAAAAAAAAGTTGCCTAATTTACACAAAATTGAAAAAATGCTCCGATGAAGTCACAGTCTAAATGCGTTTGCAAATAATTCTGTGCGACATTTTTACTTATACTGTGCTTAGCTTGGCGGCATTTTTCATTTTTCATTAGTTTTCACAAAATTGAAAAAGTGCCTACATGAACAGTCTAAACGCACTTGAGTAAACATTTGTACCAAAGTGGCGCTTAGACTGTGCTTAGCCTGGGTAATTTTTTGAATTTTTAATCCAAAATTGCAAAAATATTTTTTGGAAAAAAAATTAGAAACAATTTTTGTTCCGAAAGCAATTATTATGTTAAGACAAGCAGAAAGTTCTTTGAATAATTTAAATCGGACGCTTAGTTCTCTCAAAAACTGCCATTTTTTTACATTTAGCTCTGTATTTCCGAAGCCGCTGAGCCTACCTTTGCTAAAAACTAATAACCACTTTTCCCTGTCATTACGAACTGAATGTTTTTTGGATCATTCAAATCGGATACTCAGATCTCTCAAAAACACGATTTCTATTTTCTGCACTCTTTGCTCCATATCTCCGTAACGGCTGGACCTGCCTTTGCCAAAAACTAATCAGCACATATCCCTATTGATAGGAATCGAATGTTTTTTAAACCATTCAAATCGGTTGATCTGTGCGCCCGAAAACGTGACTGGAAAATTATATCCATACATACATACACACACACACATCAATTTTTTCTGAGGTATGTCAAAATGTTCAGAAACCTTCAAAACGTCGAGAAATGTAATAATTATTAATTTCGATTTTCGGCCCATTACAATAACTTACCCTACGGGAAGTTAATAATAGAGATTTATTATATAATATTCATACATCACAAAACTTAAACAACAAATTTATACAAAAAACACGAATTTAACCTCATAAATTTACTATAACAAATATTAAAATTTAAACTTACTTATAACAAAGTGCAAATATTTTCATAAATATACATTTGTTTTTGGCACAATTAACAACAATTGTAAATAATTAAATTATTTATAACAAATTCTAACTAAACTCAAAGGTCAATCATGTTTTGATGAAGGTGCTCGAGAAATGTTGTGCATCTCTGCTGAATCCAAACCATTCTACAAAATAATATTAATAATAATAAAACTGATATATCATATTATTTATATACTTACACTAGTTTTAATAATATTATCAGAATTCATAACAATTTGTTCATTCGCTGGAATTATACAAGGAGGTCCTTTATACTTTGGAAGCCACCTGAGAAACACAATTATATTTTATTTAGATTTTATCCAATTGTATATCAATTTTTGTCAAATTACTTTTGTACAAATGGTGTGAATAAATCAGGATGTATCAGGGAAGCGTCTGCACCACCTGTCAGGAAAGAAACTGCTGAACCGATTACTATTGTGGTGACGACTCCGACGAGGGTGTAGTATAGGTATGATAGTCTGTATAGGGCAAAAACCTGGGCACTGGGAAAAGATAATTATATATATATATATATATATATATATATACATATATATATATATATATATATATATATATTGTGATCAAGTTTTTCAGTCACAAGTCGAAAAAATAAAAACAGAACGTAAATATAAATCTTCTTCAATACGTTTCGAGCAATTGTACTAGCTCATCATTCAGCTAAAATGCAGACAGAGTAATAAAATAAAGTAACAAAATAAAATAAAACAGAATTAAAATTATATGTACCAAACCAGTTTAAAATTATTTTATATAAAATTTGACAATTGAAACATCAACATTTTGTTCTAAAAACAAAAAATAAGTATATATATACGAGGTCTGTTCAAAAAGTTTTCGTAATTTTCGTTTTTTCAAAAAAATATTTATTTATTCGTCTACATTAATGTGGTCCCCTTCAAAGTAGTCCCCCCCAGATATAATACACTTATGCCAGCGTTTTTTCCAATTTTCGAAGCACCCTTGATATTCACTTTTTGATATGTCCTTGAGCACTCTCGGCGATTCGGCCTTTATTTCTTCAATCGAGGAAAACCGCCGTCCTTTCATGGGTCTCTTCAACTTTGGGAATAGGAAAAAGTCACACGGAGCCATATCTGGTGAATTTTTGCACTTTGCAACACTTTATTTCATTTTTTACGCAAAATTTAATACAAATTCTTTGACTTTTCAATTCTTCCATTGTAAAAATCGCCGAGCTCAGAAAAACACGTCGAACCTTAGCGACTACCACAGACAAAGTAAACAGTGAATATAGCTGAAAATTTCATCATACTTTAGGGGCATGTATACCAACACAATAAAAAAAAAATTTTGACAATCAGACACTCCAGACCCGCGAAATTTAATTATTAGTAATTCCGGGTACTTTTTGAACAGACCATGTATATAGAATTTTGAACAATAAAATCGAGTAATCGAAATATTTCAAATTCTGAAAGAGAAGATAAAAGAAAATATCAAGTGGTAAAAAATTGTTCAAATATTAAAAAAATCAGACTTACATACATTAAGTATTAATTAAATATTAATTAAGTATTATTATTATTTTGATAGCTGTCAAAAAGCAAAGAAGAAGAACTTCTCTTATTAACACATTGTGAATTTAAAAAAATGAAAACAGATTCAGCAAACCTTCTTAGGTCAACATTTTGTTCAATATATAAAATAACGTGATTGTTTAAATCAAAGGTGTGTTTAAAATTTTGCATATGGTCTGATAGCATTGTTTTGTATTGATTTTTATTTTTTGACTTATAATTATGTTGAAGCATTCTCTTAGATATATATTGTGAACTCTCCCCAATATAGAATTTTTCACAATCATTACAATTCACCTTGTAAACGGAGTCAACAATTCTATTATGTAGTGTTTTTTGATTTTAAAGAAGTATACAAAGAATTTAAAGTATTTTCAAATTTGGAAACTAAAAGAAAACCTTCTTCAGAAAATATCTTTTTTAAAGAATAAGTAAAACTGCCTAAAAATGGTAAAGAAATGATACCTTTATATTGATTTAGAAAAGATGAAGAATTTATTAAACTAGTATCAACAAGTAACGAAAGGTTATTATTATTGATGTTAATTTTATTATTATTTAAATATTGCATACGGTTTTTTATAATATTATTAACTAATTTTAACGGGTATGAGTTGTCTACAAGGTTTTCGCGGATTAAATCTAAATTTTTATTCCAAAAGATGTAATTACTTAAAAGAATAGCTCTATCTATTAATAAAATAATATTAGAAATTTTGATCGAACGGGAATGAAAGGAAAAATAATTAATGTAACGACCGGACCAAGTTGGCTTTTGATACCAGTTTGTATGAATTTTGTTATTATTAAATCTAATAATTTTAATATCTAAAAAGCTAATAGAATTGTCAACCTCTTGTTCACAAGTGAACTGCAAATGTTTACTTTCAGTAAAGTTAAAACAATTCAATGTATGGTTCATATAGTTATTATCTAAACATAAAAGAATGTCATCAACATGTCTAAAATATATGTTGGCCAATTCGCTATAAAAAAACTTCATCGTATTATTTTTCAAAATTCTATATATATACATATTTTTTTGTTTTTAGAACAAAATATTGATGTTTTAATTGTCAAATTTTATATAAAATAAGTTCAAACTGGTTTGGTACGTATAATTTTAATTCTGTTTTATTTTATTTTGTTAGTTTATTTTATTACTCTTTTTGTATTTTAGCTGAATGATAAGCTACTAGTACAATAGCTCGAAACGTATTAAAGAAGATTTATATTTACGTTCTGTTTTTATTTTTTCGACTTGTGGCTGAAAAATTTTATCGCAATATGTTTAAAAATTTAAATAAACAATATCAAGATTTATATATATATATATATATATATTATATATTTCTACTAACATTGGTTCCATTGGTTCTTGGCTGACACCAACGACACTATCCATTACCAAAGAAGTTAAATTACCAACAGGACTGAAGTCCATGATTTCCGTAAAATTTCCTATAAAAAATACCCATAATTAGCAAATTAAATTAGTATAACAACATTTTATTTTGTTTTTTTTTTTACCTAGATCTGCAGAGCATCCTGCAACCGACACAGGTTTTACTGGTAATTTAATTCTTCCTGCAGCAATTTCTGCTTGAGTTCCAAAAGAAATCCAACCGACGAAGAGTAAAGAACTTATGCCACCAGCAAGAGCACCCTGGGTAATAAATAAATTTATATAACTATATATATATATATATATATATATATTTGATTTATTTGATTTTTATTACCTTAGAGTTGGCCCAAGGAAAGAACATCCCCATAGAAAACACTCCGAGCAAACTTCCAGTGGTGATTCCTGATAAAGATTTAGAAGCCTGTACCAAAGTTCCCATTTTTTCCACAACAAAAACTAAAGCAACGCAAATTGCTCCAATTATCACCACAATTATCTAAAAAAGAAAAATATGATATTTTTTATTTATGCTATTTTAAAGTAAAGGTCAAAAGATGTATAGACACCCATTGTCCTAAATGGGACGATGAGATAAACGAGGCTACATAGTCAATTCTCATAATTTTTTAATAAAATTAAGACAAGTATATTTTTCTTCGTTAGTTCTATTTTTGTTTTAGTTAGGAAGTCAGTAAAATTTGCTCGTCAGTAGAGTTCATTTTATGAAATTTGCTCGTCAGTAGAGTTCATTTTATCAAATTTGCTCGTCAGTAGAGTTCATTTTTTCAAATTTGCTCATCAGTAAGTAGAGTTCATTTTATCAAGTTTGCTTGTCAGTAGAGTTTTCATTTTATCAAATTTGCTCGTCAGTAGAGTTCATTTTATTAAATTTGCTCGTCAGTAGAGTTCATTTTATGAAATTTGCTCGTCAGTACAGTTCATTTTATTAAATTTGCTCGTCAGTAGAGTTCATTTTATGAAATTTGCTCGTCAGTAGAGTTCATTTTATCAAATTTGCTTGTCAGTAGAGTCCCTTTCCATCTTGTTTCAGTTTCAAGCTCAGCACAGTTTATTTTACACTTTAATTAATTTGTCAGCAGAGTTTTTTTTATTATTTTTGTTTCAGTCAAGAAGTAGAGTTCCTTTTTTAGTTTGCTCGACAGTAGAGTCCCTTTTCTGTCTTGTTTCAGTTTTATGGTCAGCACAGTTTATTTTCAACTTCAACTAGTTTGCTCGTCAGTAGAGTTGCTTTTTTCTATTTTTGTTTGAGTTGGGAAGTCAATAGAGTACATTTTTTCAAATTTGCTTGTCAGTAGAGTTCATTTTATGAAATTTGCTCGTCAGTAGAGTTCATTTTATCAAATTTGCTCGTCAGTAGAGTTCATTTTATAAAATTTGCTTGTCAGTAGAGTCCTTTCTTATCTTGCTTCAGTTTCATCGTTAGTAGAGTTTTTTCACTCTTTTTGCCAGTAGAGTTCCTTTTTCTATCTTTGTTTTAGCCAGAAAGTCAGTAGAGTTCATTTTTCAAATTTGCTCGTCAGTAGAGTCCTTTCTCTGTCTTGTTTCAGTTTCATCGTCAGTAGAGTTCCTTTTGTCTACCTTTATTTTAGTCAGGAAGTCAATAGAGTTACTTTTTTAGTTTGATCGTAAGAAGGGTTCCTTTTTCCTAATTTTTGTTTTAGCTAGCAAGTCAGTAGTGTTTCTTTATTAGTTTGATCGTCAGTAGAGTTCTTTTTTCCTAATTTTTGTTTTAGCCAGGAAGTCAAAAAAGTTCTTTTTTAGTTTGTTCGTCAGTAGAGTCCTTTCTCTGTCTTGTTTCAGTTTTATGGTCAACACAGTTTATTTTCAACTTCACTTTGTTTGCTCGTCAGTAGAGTTGCTTTTGTCTAACTTTGTTTTAGACAGAAAGTCAGTACATTTCATTTTTCAAATTTGCTCGTCAGTAGAGTCCTTTCTCTGTCTTGTTTCAGTTTCATAGTCAGTACAGTTTATTTTACTCTTATTAGTTTGCTCGTCAGTAGAGTTCCTTTTTTCTATTTTTGTTCTAGTCATTTTTAAAGTTGCTCGTCAGTAGAGTCCCTTTTCATATTAAATTACAAGCACTCACTGTACACCTTCTGAACGATTATGCGGATTTTGATAAATCTTTCTGAAGTTTGTTAAGGAAATTTTCTAGGATGTGCGTGATTATAAAGCACTGGGATGTATGTGCAATATTGTAGAAATAAATAAAAAAATGCAAAAAACGACATGTTTGCATTGAAAACAAATGAAAACTATCATCTGCCAAAAATTTCAATTTACTTATGAACCTAGACAATATTAGAATATGAATAATAAATTTATGATTATGAATAAGAAAAATGAGATGTCTACATTATTATTGCCAAAAAGCAGCTGAGATGTGCCAGAAATTAAAATAATATAAGATACAGTATATGTATGGCAGATTGAATGATACACATATGAACAAGATATGACGAAATAATTCACTTAAAATATGAAATTAAGTATCAATCAGGGCCGGTCCTACCTTTAATGCGATGCATGCGAAAATACGAGCGCACGCCTTAGGGGGCGCCAAGACAAGATTCGGATATTAAATTTTCAATATAGTTTTTTTATTAATAGGTATAAAATTTCTTAGCATCTTTAACTAATCTTTTCACAATATTTTTAAAATTCGTGAAAATTTTGCTTTATAACAACAAATGAGAAAGTAAAGATGAATATGATTAGGAGAAGTTTAAGATGCAATTTTGGATATCTTAAATATTATGAAATTAAATTAATTTAATCCAAAATAAAGTATCAGTGTTAAGTTATGGTTATGGTTATGTTATACCTTCTAAAAGACTTCAGTTTCCAATATATAGTATGGGAATTGACACTCATTATTTTATTTGAAGCAGTTCTATATTTAACATCGCTCATTTTATAAATGTATATGCATTTTGGCGTAAAGAGTAATTTAAAAAACAATAATTATTATTTTTAGGTAAGCGGTAAATATTAGTATATAATATTAAGAAATTGTAGACTTGGGAACAGGACAACGTCTGTCGGGTGATCTAGTTTGATATATTTTCATATATCTCATGCCCCTATCTATCCTATCTATATTTTACCTTCATGATAAAAGACGCCCTTTCCTCAGTAATCGGTTTCTTGTACATAGGTTTGATCAAATCTTGAAAAATCACACCAGTCATTGAATTCAATCCAGTAGACATGGAACTACACAATATAAAGCAACTTTATTACAAATCTATGTCTGCTAGTCAGCATTAGGGTTTTTGGCGAAAATTATGAAATTGGAAAACCGGTTTTTACTGAAAAACGTCGGTTTTCACTGTGTAATTGAAAAATGACAAATATAGCCAAATATAAAAGATAGATGAAAGCGTTTTGATTCTTGAAATCATATCGGTTCAATAGCATTTGATATCTTATTAGCATGCAATGGTTTCCAGAAAGGTTTTGTATATATTAATTTAGATTTTTATACCAGTGTATATATTAATTTAAATCAGTTTGACTTAACTTCCTCTACTCAAACTTGAAAAAAAAACGTTTTTAAACCCTAGAAGCCACAAAGAACAAAAAACTTAGAATTATTATATCAGTCTTTAAAAACAATTAAGCCTAATTCGGTCGCAAGTATGAGAGTATTTTCTATTTCAGTAAATTTTGTGAGTAAACAAAGGACACGTCTAAATAGCAATTCGATAGACGTTATCAGTTTTTTGAAATCATATTTTATTAAACGAAAAAACAATTAGAATGTTTAAAATTAATTAATTAAACTTGTTAGGAACAGGCAATACCCGAGTTTAGCTTAATTATTTTTAAAACTAAAATTGATATTAACAAGTATGTACCAACATGTATCTAATTTTTTTTAATTTAATGATTTTTTTCATTTAAAAATGTATTATTTTTATTTATTCGAAAACTTTCCTTTCATTATAATAAAAATATTCTTTATGTGAAAATGATGCTTGAATAACGAATAATTATTTTCAAAGTTATTTAATCAAGATAAACTATTATTTTTTAGTTATACTAATTAAAATTAGAATAATTTTTCTTACTATCAATAAAATTGAACAATAAATAAATTCAGTCAAATACTGCTCTAAATTACACTAAATTTGCGGATAAATTACAGAATATTCGAGCAAAAATTTATTTTCTATATAAAATTCGAAAACCGGTTAAAACCGTTTTTTTAGTAAAATTAAAATTCGAAAACCGATTTTCTGAAATGTCGGTTTTTGTATAAACCCTAGTCAGGATCTACTTGCCTAAGTGCAGCACTGAAGACTCCACTGACAAAAAGTCCTGGAAGTCCTGGAATTTTCCCAGAAGTCACTTTCATCACAAAATAGGGCAAAAGTTGGTCAGCTTTCGAGATGTCTTTGTTGGTGACAGGATCACAATTATGGAACATTGCGTAAATGACGAGACCGGTGTAACATGACATTGATACTATGGAGAGGATGCCACAGGCTAAAATTGCAATTGTTCTGAAAAAAAAAAGATTAGCATTAAGTTCCAGCAATTTGCCTTAAGGTACGATGCCATACACCACTATAGTGGTATATGGCATCGTGCCTTAAGGCAAATTGCTGGGACTTCCCATACCGTAATGAAATATTCGAGAAATTTTAAACGTTTTCAAATATATCATTACAAATAGTGTAACTTTCATTATTTTTGCTATCTTATTGTTATGTCTGAGCCAATCAAATGTAACTTATAAATAAATCAATTTATCTCCAGAACATTAACAATCTTTATTTCATTTCGAATTCAATTTCAAAAAAATAGTTGCCTAATTTGCACAAAATTGAAAAAGTGCTCGCGTATAGTCACAGTCTAAACGCACATGCAAATAATTCTGTGCGACATTTTCACTTATACTGTGCTTAACTTGGCGGCATTTTCACATTTTTCAATAGTTTTTCATAAAATTGGAAAAGTTCTCCATACATAAGCAGTCTGAACGCACTTGGCTAAACATTTGTACCAGAGTGGCGCTTAGATTGTGCTTAGCCTGGGTAATTTTTAACTTCCCGAAGGAGAAGTTTATGTTTTCATCAAAAAATCCGATTCGCTAATTTTATGTTTTCTCGACGTTTCAAGCCATTCAGAATCGAATGAGATCAAATTTCGAAAAAGTATGTGTGTGTGTAAATCGACGTTTTCTCAAAATCGGTTGGACCGATTTCAAACATTTAAAAGCCATTTTATGTATTTCGACGAAGACTAGCGTTTCTGAGTTTTGTGTGACGATCAGCCAAGCCGTTTCTTTATAAATAGCAGAAAAGTGAAAAAAATTTCGTCCCCGTTTTAGCCCGCAATTCTGAATCGATTATGAAAATTCAAAAACCGTTCGAAAGATATTGGTTGGGAATCGCGCTGATTAGTTTTGGAGAAGATCGGCCGAGCCGTTTTCTAGTAATAACGTGTTAAAATTTTTTTTCGACGATTTTTATTATTATTTTTTTGACGGTAGATACCATAGTCTTCTAGATCATACTAAAATATTATGGCCCTACGACAACTCGTTCAGCTTTAAAAATTCATCAAAGTTTGCAAAAATCAGTATCGTTTTTTTGGCATTTGTCAAAATCAGATTTTGATCGACTTTTCTCAAAAACGCCTGAACCGATTTCAGAAATTGAAAAGCCATTTGATGTATTTCAATGAGGACTATCGTTTGTCCGTTTTGTGAGACGATCTGCTGAACCGTTTCTTTGTAATTTGCAAAAAGTGTTAAACTTTTCGTCCACATTTAAGCTCAAACTACCGAATCGATTTTAAAAAATCAAAAACTGTTTGAAAGATATTAGTTGGGAATGATACTGATTAGTTTTATGTAAAAATCTACCGAGCCGTTTTCTTGTAATTAACTGTTGGAAAAAAATTTAATCCGATTTTTATGGAACTTTTTTCGGCGATATATATCATGGTCTTATAGAACTTACTGAAATATTACGGCTTCACAACAAGTAGTAAACGACAAAGTAGTCTTAATGAACATACTAAACCATTAAACTGGTTCAATTATAAAAATGGTGATTTTTGAAAATTTGCTTTTAGAAAATACTCCGAGTTAACGTGTTCGTTCGTTTTCAATCATGTGTAATAAATCCACTCGGAATACTTTTAATCACTCATAAATTAATTTATTTTTTATTGATTAAGTCGATTATTTACATATTTTGGGAAGTTCATGTAACTTGCCTCAAGGCAAAATACCAATACCAACTAGTTTGAATTTTTATAATCCAAAATTACAAAAAATTTTGTGGAAAATAAAAAAGATGTAATAATTTTTTATCCTCAAAAGCAATTGTTTTGTCAATACAAGCAGAAAGTTTTTTAGATCATTCAAATCGGACGCTTAGTTCACTCAAAAACTGCCATTTTTGCACATTTATCTCCGTATCTCCAAAACGGCTAAACCTGCTTTTGCCAAAAACTAATCACCTCTTCTCCCAATCATTACATATAGAATGTATTTTAGATCATTCAAATCCGATACTCCGTTCTCTTAAAAACTCGATTTGTATTTTCTGCACTCTTTGCTCCGTATCTCCGTAACGGCTGGACCTGTCTTTGCCAAAAACTAACCAACACATCTTCCTATCAATAGAAAAAATGCGGACATACAAAACACACACACACACATCCATTTAGTTTCTGAGGTATTCCAAAATGTTCAGAAACCTTCAAAACGTCGAGAAATGCAAAAAATTTCATTTTCGATTTTCGGCCCATTACTATAACTACCCTACGGGAAGTTAAAAATCAAGGAAAACAAAAACAATATTTTATTGACTATGTTTTATCTTACATGTTAGCCTTTTTAATCGAAGGCATCGCCAGACATCTCTGCACCATCGCCTGGTTCACAGAACAAGTCGCCAGCCAATTGAAGTAGTTTCCAATAGCCACAGTCCAAAAAGTGTGACGAATCGTTGGATCAAAATCCATACTAGAGAAATCCATAATATTTACCAACAATTTGACACAAATAAATACGAAATAAATTACTTGAAAAACTCCAATCTTCCGCTGGCTGAGCTGCGTTCCCAAACAACAGATGGCCCTCCGACTGCAATTGTTCCCAAAAACATGACCGCCAGGACACCACCAAACATGACCGCCGTTTGGATGGTGTCAGTCCATACTACTGCCTTTAGACCACCCTAGGATAGAAAAAAAATATGAGAAATACACAAAAAGCGTTTATACCAAAGTTGACTTAAACAACATAGCTGAAATTTTATTGATCACACGTATTTTTATAACTTCCCATAAGGCAAGTTATAGTAACGAACCAAAAATCTAAAATGAATATTGTCGCATATCTTCAGGTTTGAGAGGTTTCTGAGCATTTTGTCATACCTAAAAAAAAATAAATGTGTGTATTAGGGTTTGTCGGTTTTTAAAAACCAGTTTTAAAAACCGTTTATTTGGCGAAAATTGTGGAATTCGAAAACCGGTTTTTTAGTGAAAAAAGTCGGTTTTCACTGTATAAATGGAAAAGGACAATTATAGCCAAATATAAAAGATAGATGAAAGCGTTTTGATTCTTGAAATCATATCGGTTTAATAGCATTTGATATCTTGTCAGTTTGCAATAATTCCCAGAAAGGTTTTGTATATATTAATTTAGATTTTTATACCGGTGTATAGATCAATTTAGATCAGTGTGACTTCTTCTTGAAGAAGTAACTTCCTCTACTCAAACTTAGAAAAAAGAGTTTCAAACCCCAGAAGCCACAAATTAAAGGACAAAAAACTTAAAATTATTATATCAGGCTTTGAAAAGAATTAAGCATAATTTGGTCGCAAGTATGAGAGTATTTACTATTTCCGGAAATTTTGTGAGTAAACAAAGGACACATCTAAGTAGCAATTTGATAGACGTTTTCAGTTTTTTAAATCATATTTTATTAAACAAAAAAACAATTAAAATGTTTAAAATTAATTTTTTAAAATTGCTCGGAACAGATTACACCTGAGTTTAGCTTAATTGTTTTTAAAACTAAAATTGATATTAACAAGTATGTATCAACATTTATCTAATATTTTCTCATTTATTTTTTAATTTAATAAATTTTTGTTATTTATTAATCTATTATTTTTATTTATTCGCAAACTTTCCTTTCACTATCGTAAGAATATTTTTATTCTTATATGTAAAAATGATGCATGAATAATGAATAATTATTTTCAAAGTTATTTAATCAAACTATTATTTTTTACTTCTACTAATTAAAATTAAATTGATTTTGTTTGACAAAATTGAACAATAAATGAATTCTATTCTATATAAAATTCGAAAACCGGTTAAAACCGGTTTTTTAGTGAAATTAAAATTCGAAAACCGGTTTTCTGAAATGTCGGTTTTTGTATAAACTCTAGTATTTATGCACTGAAGATGAGTCCAATGAAGACCCAAAACGTATGCAAGATTTAAAATTATTTTTTAATTCCGCTTCATTTTTTTATTGATCAGAATTGATATAAATAAAATGTAATAAAATATATTATAATAATGAATTAATAGTATTATAATAAATTAAATTATTAATTAGAAATTGACAAACTTACCAGTGTCGTGTAAAAAATGCAAACCACGCAAACTATAGGCGATATCAAATGCAGATTTATTCCTGTAACTAAATTAAACAAAATAATCAAATATAATTTTTAATTTATTTATATATATACATATATATTAGGGTGGTCCTTAATATGGATGTTTTTGAGTTTTCTTGCTCCCAGGTGCTTAAATGCTTCCCAATTAAAAAGAAAAGTTCTCTAAAAGTTTTAGCTCTTAATAACACCTTTAAGATAGTCCGCACTCCAAACAAAGTTTCTTATGGAAATAACATTGATAAAATTTCATTTGATTTTTACAATTTCATAACATGGCGACAAGAGAATTAAAATTTTGGGTATAACATTGTATTTGCTTATTTTAATCATAAATAAAAAAATTACGACAAAAATTTGATATATTTTATAAACTAAGTATTTACCAAGAACGAAAAACCAAGAAACTTGGGTTGGGGTGCGGACTATCTTAAAGTTAATATTAAGAGCTGAAACTTTCAGAGAAGTTGTTTTTATCAATTTGGAAGCATTTGAGTCCCTGGGAGCAAAGAAATTCGTAAACATCCATATTAAGGACCACCCTTGAATAAATAAAAATATATAAATATATTTTACATATATATTTTATCTTTACCTTGACTAAATGCGAGAGCTGGTACATAAATCACAATCGGTATATACAAAAGCATTTTTATCACAAAAATCACAGAACCCATCAGACGAACCGGTTGGTTAAACCTTAGTTTCAAATACTAAAAATAATAATAATGATTTTATTAATAAAATAAAATTAACAATTAATTAGTACCCCCTAAATTTGCATATAACCTACAACACAATAGCACCGCTTCAAAATCACAAATGAAACTGATGTAATTAGTTATAAATGAAAAAAAACTAGATAAATATTATTTAATATATCATAATTAAACTTATTTCATGAATATAGGGTAATAGATATTGTATATATTTATACGTTTATATAACTTTGTTACAAAATCGTGGGTTTCGTTAATGTAACGTAGCCGTTGCGTATAGTTAAGAATTAGAGTATAACTACTTTAGTATATTAAGTAAGCTGCAAAAACGAATAATATTTTTAATATAATATTTATTAAAAAAAGTCCATATTACTAAAAAAATTAATTAATAACTAGCATCAATGACACATCACGTGTACACTACTTTTTTTGAAAACATAACAAAAACGAAGCAGTTACGTTTACCATTTGTGGAACAAAATGAATGATTATTCAGAAAGTAGTATTCAAAGATTGATAATGTATTTTTCACTTTTTAAAGAGTTATTTCTATATTTATTGCAAATTCTATGTTCCACTGCATTTTTAGATACCATCGAAAAACACATTTATGCGTTATCTCGGTACTTTGAAAACGTAACAAAAACGTAACCGTTTTTTTCCTAGTTGAGCAAAATAAATGTCCTTGGGTATGCCTTCAAATTACGTGAATAAATGTCTTTGGCAATGTCTTCAAAATTACGTGACATTAAGATTTTTATTATATAGTCAGGTTTACTTTTCAAATTGTATTTTATACTATTATGATTACTAAAATAAATGTTTTACCTCATAGCTGGAAGTGATTTGTAATTTATAAAACACCGGTAAATATATCAAAGCCATCGTTAAAGATACGAAACATTCAGGACACACAATCATCCAGTATTGAGTACCGTATGTGTACATTTCTGCAGGTAATCCGAGCAAAGATATTCCAGAAATGTAACTGAAAACATAATATAATATAAGGTGATTAGTTTTTGGAAAAGGCAGGTTCATACGTTTTGGAGATTCGGAGCTAAATGTGCAAAAAATGGCAGTTTTTGAGAGAACTAAGCTAAATAATTTTAACCTTGCAATTCAGTTTATATTATTCCTACAAATATTCGATAATGTTACAGTATTTATAATAATCTATTTAAAAATATTTGATATTCCTCGAACATTTCGTTACGGTAAGGGAAGTTCCAGCAATTTGCCTTAAGGTTCAATGCCATATACCACTAGCTTATTTAAAAACCGATACAAATCTTATAATAATCCAACGACAAGTTATAACAATACAACAAGAATTTTATATAAATCCGGTGAGAATCTTATAAAAATCCAACAAGCATCGAAATTTTTATTGCGATTTCATTGTCTATTAGGTTATTTTTATTAAATTTCGGCAATATTATAAGATTCTTTTATTAAATAAATTTTATTCAAAATATTGTGGAGCCGGATTAAAAAAGTCTATATTATTTTTATTATATATTTTAAATTATTAATGTGGTCGGTGAGAATAGTTTTAAATTGTCTAGAATTAACTATATATCTTATATATAAAATTCTTCTGTACGGGTGTATGATTTGATACTCCTCCTAAACATTTATTCGGATTTTGATAATTTATTTTAAAGTTTGTCAAAGAAAATTTTTAATATTTAATTAACGATATAACTTTAGTAATATTGTAGAAATGAATGGCAAAAATTGCAAAAAAAACACTTATCATTGTTTGATATTGAAAACATTTGCATTGTCATCTGTTAGAAATGTCAATTCACTTAAAATTTAGGTGAAATTAAGAGCCTAGATAATATTAGAATGTAATATACAAGAAAAATGTAATGTCAACATTATTATTACCGAAAAGCAGTTGAAATGTGCTAAAAATTAAAATAATATAACGTACAGTCAACAGAATAGATTTGGCAGATGAAATTGTATAATTCAGTTTAATAAATAACCCAACAAGTCCAAAATTGCATATACATTATTTTTTTAAACAGATGCAAGTCGCATTTTGGTTTACTCTACTAAATTATTTAAACACAGAAGATTATTTCTACTTATTAAAAAAATAATTTAGATTTTTGTTTCGTGTGCCAAAAATTCATTTGTTTGGCATTGGATATAAAATATTTAGCAAGTTGATCTTAGATTGTTGAACTAGATTTTACAAATTAATTCAACTAAGACTGGAACATAAACAATGATGTTTGTTAAATTATTAGTAAGAAAAATGTACTTTGGAAATTATAATTGCCAAAATGCAACTAATATGTGGTACGAGATTATGAAAATTATTGAAGCAATTTATATTTGGTAGAAAAATCAAGTGTGATATTGTTCTAATGCAGATACTAATTTAATTTTTTTCTGAATTTCTTATACTGCTTATGCTAAGACCATAAATGAATTGCAAAGGCAGGACATCAAATGGGATATTTAAAAGTATAGGATAGGGTATTAAAAAATTTGGGACTTTTGAATTGTAGATGTTGGTACAGGACAACATATGTCGGGTCATCTAGTATATATATATATATATATATATATATATATAAATCTATTTCCCTCTTACCTGGCAATAAGAGACATCGAAATGGGAAAAATGCCCATAGTCTTTTCCTCCCATTAGATACTGCTGTGTATTATTCTGCTTTTCTTTTGCAAAAAATGCAAAATAAACCCCGACCAAGGCCGAAACGACCAACATAAATCCAAAAACTGAATAATCCAGCAAATCGAACAACTGGTCTTCATCTGATGCCATTTTGATCAAATTTGTGAAACGTCCTTAGATCCTAATTTTGGGAAAAAAATCAACTGGGGAGAAAAGAACTAGATTTAAACACATATTTTACCAATTGTTATTTTTTTCAAAAACATTTTTTTCCAGTGCGTTTCTTACACGAACGATTCGTTTAATGGCTTAATTAAATTACATACAGATTTGCAAATGTTAAAATAGTGAATAACAATAAAATGTCGTCATTGGACTTTTAATTGTACCGATAATAATTTTGTTTATAAATATTACCGCATAGGAAATTATTCAATAATTTATAATCGACTGCGCGAGGTTTCTTATTTGTGATCGAATCGAAAACGATCACGTTTTTAGACATCACGACTGTTTAATTTAATAGAGTTGTAAAAACATAAATAAAAATAGACAGTGGAAAAATGAAATAAATAGTCATAATAAATTCTAGACTGGCCTGTTGGCCAGTTTCTATATTTGTAACGTGAGCGTCATCCATTCTAGATGAGTGCACTTACTCGAAGAGTGTGCGTAAAGAAGTTTTACTTCAAATTAAAAAAAAAACTAGTGGGGTGTATGGCATCGTGCCTTAAGGCAAATTGCTGGAATTTCCCGTACCGTAATGAAATATTCGAGAAATTTTATTTCATTTCGAATTCAATTTCAGAAAAAAATAGTTGCCTAATTTGCACAAAATTGAAAAAGTGCTCCCGTATAGTCACAGCCTAAACGCATTTGCAAATAATTCTGTGCGACATTTTCACTTATACTGTGCTTAGCTTGGCGGCATTTTCACATTTTTCAATAGTTTTCACAAAATTGGAAAAGTGCTCCAATACATAAACAGTCTAAAAGCACCTGGGTAAACATTTGTACCAGAGTGGCGCTTAGACCGTGCTCAGCCTGGGTCATTTTTTGAATTTTTAATCCAAAATTACAAAAATACTTTTTCAAAAAAAAAGAATTAGAAATATTTTTTTTTTCCAAAAGCAATTGTTCTGTTAAAACAAGCAGAATATTCTTTGAATCATTTAAATCGGACGCTTAGTTCTCTCAAAAACTGCCATTTTTTTTAACATTTAGCTCTGTATCTCCGAAACCGCTGGGCCTACCTTCGCTAAAAACTAATTAACACTTTTCTCGTCCTGAACGTTTTTTGGATCATACAAATCGGATGATCCGTTCTCTCAAAAACTCTATTTCTTTTTTCTGCACTCTTTGCTCCATATCTCCGTAACGGCTGGACCTGCCTTTACCAAAAAGTAATCAGCACATATCTCTATCAATAGAAATCGAATGTTTTTAAACCTTTTTAAATTTAAATGTTTAAATGTTTTTAAATTTCAATGACGTGCTAATTAGGTTTTGGCAAAGGTAGGTCCTGCCGTTTCGGAGATATGAGGCAAAAAGTGCCAAAAAACGGTAACTCAGTTTTTAAGATAACGGAGCGTCCGATTTAAATAATTAAAAAAACATTTTACTTGTACTAACAAGATGAAGAACTGATTAGATTTTTGAGAAGGCAGGTCTAGCGGTTTCGGAGATCTAGTGGAAAAAGTACAAAAAAATGCCATTTGGCGGTCAAAAATGATCATTAGACATATGCACATCGAATTATCAGATATTTTCTAGAGATTTTAATAATGTGTATCAATTTTGTTTACATTCCTATAGGTTCCGTACTAATGCTTATTCGTTAGACAGCGACGCGGCGCTCACGCGCTTCGACATTTTGTCTCTGTGCAACTAAAGCAGTACTTTGAACAAAATTTACAAAATATTTATATAGAAAACATTTTTTTCAGTTTTATTCAAAAAAAGCCATTTTTCCCAAAAATTTAAATTTTTTCATAAATATAATTTTTTCAAATTTAAAAAAAAAAATTCAATCTTTTTTAAATAAATAATTTTTGGTACGGGAAATTCCAGCAATATGCCTTAAAGCACGATCCAATGCACCACTAGTTATGATTTATTAATTAAACCTTTGCATATAAATAAAAATGTTGTGTCCACACATACCTAATTAATAATCTAATCCCATTCTCCATCCATCACTAATTTAAAATATTGAATGCAACAACAATATCTCCATTTTGATTATTACAATTTCACCATAATGTTTATATTTTTATTTTATCACCTGTCGATCCTGATTCGAATCAAGATTCGAGACTCAAGACTCGAAGAGTAGACATACTGGCGGTTTTAAGAGGTTCTTAATCCACTTAACTATTGTGTAAGTTTGTTAAAGATGTTGCACAATATTGCAGAGATTGAGAAACTTGAGAAAATTTGAGAAACTTACTGTTTTTCCTCATGCAGTTTTCTTCAGAAATTAGAAGACTTTCTTCTCCAACATTTCTTTGTACCACATATCAGAAGCTTTTCAAATAAATTTTGTCGATTGATCTTGGAGTCCATGTCTCTGATCCTTACAGAGTCATGATGCAAATTTGATTAGATCAATCGATTGATTTACTATAATTAATTAGAGCTCTCGTGGAGAGTTTTCATATTCACGAATATTTTGAATTCCAGTAGATCCCAATAGCCTAAATAAAACTTCGATTTTGATTTAATTCTTTCTTGGTTTTTGGTTGTCTTTAGAATTTTCTCTCTCCAGCTAGTACTAATAGCTTTCAGAAGAAATGATCCTGATGAGTTCTTTCTTTCTATATTTCCTAATAATCTTTTACTATTATCTTAAGAGGCAAGTACATAGTTTATTGACACTATCGACACTTTTGATTTTTTTCTCCATATCTGCAATCAACCACGAAGATTCTATCCACCAGCAATCAAATTTTTTCACTAGAAATATTCCAACTAATCACAGAAAGAAAAAAATCCTTTATAGTGTACATAAGAGAAAACTTATCATGATGATTGATTAAAAAGAGTTTTTATAAGAATCTAACAGGCAAAATGTATATCGATATTTTTATGAAAAGGTTTCAAATTCCTGTCGCAAGTCAATTCTTCTATTCAGACAATCTGCAAAACGTCGCTTCCTCATTATTTTGTCAAGTGATACACTTATATTTAGATTAGTATATACATACACACACATATATATATATATATATATATATATATATATATATATATACATACACATATATATATATATATATATATATATATATATATACATATTAGAGCGGGTCGATTTGTATGGGGTCAAAAAAAGTCGCTTAGGGCACACATCATTTCGGATACTAGGGATCAAAATAAGATACTTTGCTGAAAAAACTATAACTTTGAAATGAATTCTGTTGTCCCGTGTAATGACCCAAAATAAGGGTTGAAATTTGAAAATTCCATTTTGATCGATTTAGAGTGCCCCATCGCGTCCAAATTAATGACCGACCCCCCACTAACTTGGGAAAGCCGATTCACTCATGCCCGTGGTTCATCCCTGAGCGGTTTTTCAACATTCAACCCTTATTTTCGGGTCAACGCACGGGACATCAGAATTTATTTCACAAACATCTTTTCTCGAAGAAAGACCAAATGGCCTTCCAAAACGTTTGCCAAAGCAATTTATTACCATATTATTATCTGCTAAGCTAACATACGTATGGCAGGTAGCGAGGACGTCGCTTTGCTCTTAAATATATAAGTTTTTCTCTTCAAAACCTTATTTTCTTTCGAGTCAACACTTCATTTTCAAGGCATTATTTTATTAACTTCCCATGGGGTAGTTATAGTAATGGGCCGAGAATCAAAAATGAAAATTTTTGCATTTCTCGACGTTT